CTATTCTATTCTATTCTATTCTATTCTATTCTATTCTATTCTATTCTATTCTATTCTATTCTATTCGCATCAAGACAAATTCCTTGTGTGTCCAATCACACTTGGCCAATAAATTCCATTCTATTTTATTCAATGATGCCACAGTACTGTTAAAGATGTGATTGAGATATGTAAAGGTAAAAAAAGCATAAAAGAAGTATTATGAAAAATAAAAGAAGAGGCAGAATATTAAATTTTCCCAATAGAAAAACATGTTCTTAAGAGGCAGAAAGCAGACAGTACTTTCCTAATGTGCCTATTCACAGACAAAACACCTTCACCTGCAGGAGATGAGGTGAAGGAGAGGACCTGACCTTAACCCCATTCATTGAGAAAACTGGAAACAATACCTGTCCATTAAGAAAGGCAGACTGGAGGCAATAAACAACAGGATAAAATCAATTACACATGCCTGACAGGATTAGGTTCAGAAAGCTGATAATTAAGGCCCATCCGGAGCCTTTGTGAAACAAGTAAAACTGATCAAATAATAAAAGGGTGCAAAGCCAGCCCCAAAATGACAAAAAAACTGCAAACTGGATAAAAATCCTTGCACTCCTCAAGTTAATTGGTCAGCTGCCCCAGAACCAAATCCAAGGGGTGGTTCTGCTCTTCAATAAACAAGAATCTTTCTTTCCAATCAGCCTCCATTTTATTTCTAGCTCCTTTCTCCCAACTTGGAAGTGGACCTGGATTTTCCTTCCAACAAAACCCACCCACAAGCTCAAAGAACTCACCTTCGCCTTCATCCTACATACGAGCTACAGATACAGTATTTGCCACTATAGTTAAACTCCCAATTTTCCTTCCTGAGCCACCCCGGTATCCATTGTCTACCAATACAGTTCAATCATATTGTTTTGGGGGGGAACAGTCTGCGCCGCTAGAAGGTCGTCCCATCAGGTGACCTTGAAATGTTGGGATTTTCTCAGGCTGCCAACAGCTCACATACCTTCCTTAGCTCCCTCCCAGCTCCTTACACATTCCAACCATTTTATTTAGAAATTTTACATTGCTGCCTACTTGCACAAGGCGACTTACAATATTTATTTGTTTAGAAAATTTATATTTTACCCCTTCCCCATCCCATTTTCCTCTCCCCTTGCCTCTGTTGTCAGGTTGCAAAGAAGCGGTGCCTTACAAGTCAGCCACGACAGCTTGTTAAAAAGGGGAAAACCAGATACTAAAACTCCTAAATACAGTATAAATACAGCTGCAGATGTGATGCAGGGCTCTTCTCAGGCTCCTACCAATAACTCCTACAGAGGAAGTGAGATAGGTATAATTAATGCCATTCTGGCTTTCCCTCCCTGGTACGGGGGATTTTTTTTTTAAAAAAAATGAAGAGCCAACTTCTTCATTTTTGTAAAAGAAATGTTCTCCATTCAGTGGGCTGGTTGGGCTGCCGTTAAATTCACAATTATTATTCTCAAATTTATTTGCCGCCTATCTTGCAATTTAAGGCAAGTCAGAGCACGTATTGTATTATACTATTCATAGTTGTATTATGTATTATACTATTCCAAGTTATAGGTGCTTCATCCCTGGAGGTTTTTAACAAGAGACTGCACAACCCCTTGTCTGCAATGGTATGGGGCCGTGATGGCGAACCTATGGCACGCGTGGCACGCAGAGCCATTTGTGCCAACACACGAGCTGCAGGCAAACTTACCTCACTGCGCATGCGCGTGCCTCCCAGCTGATTTTCAGCCCGTTTGAGGCCTTTTTCCAGACTAGATAATTTAGCGGTTAGAAGAGATAATTTGTCGCTCAGCGTTGAACTGATGGGCCTAAGCTTTGTTGTTTTCCTAGAGACATTTCATTACCTGACTAGGTAACATGATCAGTGCTAGAAAGGAATGGAATTTGTTTATATACTAGTGCCATGATGGCGAACCTATGGCACACGTGCCACAGGTGGCACGCAGAGCCAGTTGTGCTGACACGCGAGCTGCAGGCAAACTTACCTCACTGCGCATGAGCACGCCTCACAGCTGATTTTTGGCGGGTTTGAGGCCTTTTTCGGCCTCCCAGAGGCTTGAGGAAGGCTTCTGCAGGCTAAAAACTAGCCCCGTTTCACCACTTCCTGTTTTTCCGAAAATACTGGAAGTGACGAAACGGGACTAGTTTTCGGCCTGCAAAGCCTGCAGAAGCCTTCCTCAAGCTTCTGGGAGGCTGAAAAAGGCCTCAAACCAGCCCAAAATCAGCTGTGAGGCACAGTGCAGGTAAGGGGGTGTCAGGGGTGGTGGATAGGTGGGGATTGTAGGCATGTGCGTAGGGGTCGTGGGGGCGGCGCACATTACATTCTGAGTGCTCTCACGTGAGCGCAAACATGCAAGCGCGCGCACACTTTTTGGCACAGGAGCTCCAAAAGGTTAGCCACCACTGGTATAGGATCTCCCACCTGAGCAGGAGGTTGGACTAGAAGACCTCCAAGGTGCCTTCCAGCTCTATTCTGATTGACAGATTGATACATTTTATACCATTTACAATGTTTTATAAATAGCACACATCAGGTTCTCGACCTAGACTGCTTGAAGACTTGTGGACTTCAACTCCCAGAATTCCCCAGCCGAGCGCAGCCGGCTGAAGAATTCTGGGAGTTGGAATCACGCGATCTTAGGGACGGGTGGGGTGGCAGTTGTAACTTTGAAGATGGGTCCTAAGTAACGTCTTTCGAGCTTCCAACAAGCCAAGCCAAGGATGGAAAACCAGTTTCCACTTAACAACCACACGATCCCTTTTAACAACTGCAATGATTCGCTTCCCCGTGGCAAAAACAGGTCGTAAAACGGGACACGGCTCATTTGAAAACTGTCTTGCTGAGCAACAGGCATACCGGGCTCAACAACCTTTAGCGGTTTCAACAGCCATTTTTTTTGCTAAGTCTCCCTTGATAGAACACAGGTAGTCCTTGACTGACAGCAGTTCATTTTGTGACTGCTTGAAGTTACACAACGGTCCTGAAAAAAAGGGACCCGTGATCGTTTTTCACACTTAACCACCGGTGCAGCATCCCCAGAGTCATGGGATCAAAGTTCAGACCCAACTGGACCCTGCACTTATGACGGTTGCAGTGTCCTGGGGGTGTGTGTGTGTCATGTGATTCCCTCTTTTGCGACCTTCTGAAAAGCAAAGTCAAAGTTAAGGTATGGCTATCTTAACAACTAGTAGAATAGAGTAACAGAGTTGGAAGGGACCTTGGAGGTCTTCTAGTCCAACCCCCTGCTTAGGCAGGAAACCCTAGACCATTTCAGACAAGTGGCTGCCCAGTCTCTTCTTAAAAACTTCCAGTGATGGAAGCAGCCACAACTTCTGGTGGCAAGCAGTTCCACTGGTTAGTTTTTCTCAGCAAAATTTCTCAATTCCAGGTTGCTTCTCTCCTGGATGAGTTTCCACCCGTTGCTTCTTGTCCTGCCCTCAGATGCTTTGGAGAAGAGCTTGACTTCCTCTCTTGGGGGGGCAGCCCCTGAGATATTGGAAGATTGCTGTCATGTCACCCCTATTCTTCTTTTCCTTAAACTAGACATGCCTTTTGTCTGTCTATGGTTCGCTCAGATGTCTTTTTTTCCCCTTTCTTTCTCCCTTCCTTATTTTATTATTTACTTTCTCTCTCTGCCTTCCTTCCTTCCCTCATTCCTTCCTCCCTTTTTCATTTTTCTTCCTTCTTCCTTCCCTTTGCTTACCTCCCTCCCTCTTCCTTCTTTCTTTCGCTTTGGAGAATAGTTTGACTTCCTCTTCTTTGAGGGCAGCCCCTGAGATATTGGAAGACTGCTATCACGTCTCCCCTGGTCCTTCTTTTCATTAAACTAGACATACCCAGTTCCAGCAACCACTCTTCGTATGTTTTAGCCTCCAGTCCCCTAGCCATCTTTGTTGCTCTTCTCTGCACTCTATTGATTCATTCAACAACTGTGACAAGGTCATAAAATGGGGACAAATTGATCACTTAATGTCTCACTTAGCAACAGAAATTCTGGGCTCAAATTGTGGTTGTAAGTCAAGGACTAACTCTGCAAGCCCAATAATAACCGTGCACAACTCGCAAACCCGTAAACTTTTTGTAATTTTATTTTTAAAAAGTCCAATAGCTTTAGAATAGATCCAAATGTATTAACTTCTCCAAAAAAAAAAAAAAAATACCCAAAGGTACAGATTTAAAGTATATTCTCCTTAAGTACAAACTAACTTTCTTGAGGGATGCATTGCATCAATCTTTTTTGCATCCGGCTTGATGCAAAAGGTTTGTTCGCTCCGTTTTTAATTGCATCCTGGCACAAACCAAACGCAGGATGGTGCTCAGCATACAGGCTCTCGGTCTCGAACCTGGTGCCCGTGAGGTGGGTTGGGCCAATTGCAATTCCAACCCATCTGATGGGCGCCGGGTTAAAGGACGTCTCGGTCTTCTTCGTTTTTAACAGACTTCCAACAGAATTTTTAGTACACAATTTAAAAAAAAATAATAAAAATGTCCAAAACTTTTTCCACTGTAATGATTACAGAACAGCAGTTTCTCAGCCTTGGCAACTTTTAAAGATATATGGGCTTCCAGAATTCTCCCCAGCCAGCATAGGTTACTCTCTTACAATCCCTTCTTCTGTAATTTCTCCACTTCAAGGGGTAAGAGAAAAAAAAAAATAGGCATAGCTGGCTGGAGAATTCTGGGATTTGAAGTCCACACGTCCTAAAGTTGCCAAGGTTGAAAAACACCGATATAGAAGATTTTAAAAAAAGAAAGAAAAATTAGAAACAAAAGAACATTAATCATCATGGGCCGTAGTTTTTAATTTAAAAAAAAAAATGCTCTACGGATTACCCAAATCTTCTTTGCTTTGAAAACCACCAGAAAATGAAAATTTTCACTGTAACCTCTGACACTAGGCCTACGAATTAGGATCCTCTTATGGATGTATGAACATCCAGAAATTCAGGATGTTTTCACAGGCAATTCCGTTATTCCTCTTAGGGTTCCAAATATCCCCTGGTTGGAAGTCAAAATTAATCAGACATGCAGAGAGCTTGGGGTGTGTGTGGGTGTGGGTGTATATGCTGAGATGTTGACTCCACCACTTCTGATCCCTTGACACGACAGGAAGGTACCTCGGTGGAACTTACCGCTAAGTAGAGGAGTCACAAAGTGCACGTTTCTCACTACACAACAAAGCAACCTTCAACAGAACTCAGAAAGGGGAAAGTGGGGAAAAGAAACCAGGCTAATGTCAGTGAAAGATGCCCTCAAGAAAACCAAGCGGCTCACTCTGTGACCGAAGGATAAAACTGAACTCGAGTCGTCGTGGCAGGTTTTACTACAAAGATACTCACAGGTCATTCGTTGTTTGTTTGTTTTTTGCAAGCCTACGGATCGGATCCGTGCCAATATCGCCGGGGAGGTTTTGATGGAGACCTGCCCAATTGACCATCACGGCAATTATTCCACCTCCTCCCTCTGCCCCAATTGCTTCCGATTTTTGGGGGGCGGGGGTGGTGGTGGTGAACTAGAAGAAAACGGGACGCGCAAGCCGTTCAGATGAATCAGCCAACGAAAGAAGAGCAGAACCGACCTTCCCTGGGAGGCCTGTGGCCAAAACTAAAACTAAATCGGACCAGGAGGGCCACTGTATAATTTTTTTGCATGAAGAAAGAAAAATATTTTTTTTTCATCTTTGCAGGGTGGAGCGTCGACACCTACCGGCATTTTCAAAAACAACCACAAGAACAACAAAAAGTAACTGGGGGTGTCCCCTTCTTGCAGGGGTTAATTGGACCTTCCCAAATCCAGGGCGAGGTGCCTATTTAAGTAAACAAACCCAAAGCTTGCTGTGTTTCTTCGTTATATCGGAAGAGATGAAAGGGATGAGTTGATGGTGTGACTCAGGGGGTCCCCAAACTTGGCAACTTTAGGACTTGTGGACTTCAATTCCCAGAATCCTCCCCAGCCAGCATAGCTTGCTCTCTTGTGATCCCTTCCTCTGCAATCTCTCTCTCCACTTTAGGAGGTTAAGAGGAAAAAGGAAACAGACACGTCCGGCTGGCTGGCTGGGGAATTCTGGGAGTTGAAGTCCACAGGGCTTATAGTGGCCCAGTTTGGAGACGTCTGGTCTGACTAGTTCGAGCAGGTGGTGCCCAACTTCGGCCACTTTTAAGAGGTGCGGACGTCAACTCCCACGGCTGGCTGGGGAATTCTGGGGATTGAAGTCCACGGGTCTTAAAAGCCATCAAGGTTGGACCTCCCAGGATAGAGGAAGGGCAGTTAAATGGACGGGGAAAAGGGTTCAGCTCCTTGGGGATCTTCTGACACAAAAGTCTCCAATGTCTCCCATGACTTCTGGACCCCACAGTCTCTCCGGCTCCTTCCAAGGGGAGGAAAGGCCTCTTCTAGGCCACCGTCACAAAACGGCTGCCCTTGTTCTGAGCGAGAGCTGTCCTTTGTTCCTTCAGGATCCCGAAGCGCTCGTTGAGGGTCATGCTGGTCTGTGAATGCCGAAAAGAGAGAAGCCGTTATTGTGACGACATTATGAAAGCACGGATGACGTTTACCTAGTTCGGGAGTGAAACGTCGGCGAGAGAAACCACCGAGCTCAGAGAGCACAGCAAGGACTCCGCAGTAGTGGTAGCATACTTCATCGCAGAGTCAGCCGGATGTTTTGACTGGGATGTGGCCTTTTGACCCACCCATCGAGGTCTTCCCAAGAACCCGGGATAGGCGGCCATTGTTGTTTAATAATATCAACGGTGTTGAGGTTCGCCGCCAGCCTGTGCGGACGGCAGCGGTATGGGACAGAGGGGAAGAAAGGGGACCAGTCAGGGAGTCTGGAGAGGACTCAGATGAGGGTCCTGCGTCCGATGCAGGGATGGGGCCAGGACCATCTGGGAGTGGGGTGCGGACTCTGGAGCCTCTGGAGTCTGGCGGCGGCAAGGAAGAGGAACAAGGGGAGCCTGTTCCCAGCGCGTGTATGTGCAGAGCTGCTAGAAGGCGAGAGCAGCTGAAACAAAAGGGGAAACTCGGGAGTAAGACTGGGAGACGATTGTCCCTCCCATAAGGGATAAAGGACAGGCAAAGATGATGAAACCTTTGCAGGAAGCAAGGTCATTCAGTTCAGATTCATTCACTGAAGCTCTTTGTAGTTCGATTGTTTTTTTTCCCTAGTTTATTTGACACTTCTGCTATTGGCAGCATTTCACAGGAAAGAAAGGTGGATGCTTATCTCGAGGGACTGTTTGAGATTCAATACTGGCTGGGAATGAAAATAATTCCCAGTGTTGCAATAAAACAAGATAAGCGCGTGCGTAATTACGGTCTCGGAAGTCTTCACACTAATTAAACGAACTAATTGTCTCCTGCAAACCCCACTCCCCTTTCGCTCCTCTTTATTCCCCTATGGGAAGGGCCATTCACCGTCCACCTAAGCCTTTACTCCCTATTTGACCCTTGTTCCTCAGCTGTTCCCTTCTTCTGGCAGCTCTGTGCATGCGCACACTGAGAACAGGCTCCAGCTGTTCTTCTTCCCTACTGATCTCCGATTCCAAAGGGAGCTGATAACAGTCAGGCGGCTCTGGCCCCAACTTTGCCTCCGACACAGAGGATTTCAGGACTGGCCCAGGTTCCTCCCCAACCTCCTCACTGTCTGAATCTGCCGCCAGCTCCACTGGCCACTGGCGGGCTGCAACACTACCAACCTGCTTCCCGACACTGTTGATGTCAAATTGCAGAGGGACACCTTTGGGGACCTTCTTCTCTTCCGATGCTTCCTTCTTCAGGAGAAAGGGGGGTATGAGATTGCTGGTGAGTCTTGGTTTCAAAGAGCTGTAGAGCAAAAAAATAAACAAACAGATTGTGATACCGCACTGGGTAGGTTTGTCAGTGTATAAGAATTTATGACCTGGAATAGCCATGGCAACAAGTTAGTCAACGGGCACCGTTTGATGACAGAGACACTGGCTTAGTTGTGTGTGAGCCATGTGAGACAGCTTGGAGCCTGGGCGTGGCTTACCTTAACTGTTCTGTGTATAAAAGAGTTTGTTTGTCTTGGCTTGAGAGTACTTGCTACTTTTCTCTACCACGTTGCAAGAGCTGCATGGGTATTGTATACATGCATCACATTTTATATTATTGTACATAAAGAAGTTTCTTCTCTATAATGAATCCTGCTGAATTATGGGCTTGTGTGCTGGCTGGATTGCTACAAACTCCTACAAGGTTCAAGTAAAAGGTTTGCTTCGCCATAAGTAGAAAACATCTGCGGGATATTCGAATGGGAAATAAAAGTGATTTTTGCAGGACGACAGGCAGAGCCCGGGGATGGAGTCAAACGAGGAATAAGCCTGGAGTCGTTACGGTCCCACAAGCGGTCCATCTCTTCAATTCCATTAACTCTTATGTCTATGGGGATTCTCAGCCATCCAGGTCATGGTTGTATCAAAAGTGCTTTTGTTTTAAAAAGAGGCAACTGAACTTTTTTTTTTTTACTTTTTCTTTGAAGACTTTTCGCTCCTCATCCAAAGAAGCTTCTTCAAGCCGAAACGTCGTCTTGGATGAGAAGCGAAACGTCTTCAAAGAAAAAAACAGAAAGTCCAGTCGCCTCTTGAGAAAAAAAAAAGCACTTTGGGGACGTTAACTATTATCCAATCCATCCCGGGAGATTTTTAAGAAGGGATTGGACAACTATTTGTTGAACTGTTGTAGTCTCCTGCTTGAGCAGGGGGTTGGACTAGAAGACCTCCAAGGTCCCTTCCAACTCTGTTATTCTAATTTTGGACTGACTAGAATCTCGTGAGTGCGGTGGCCTAGAGTGGTGTGGTCGCCTCACAATCAGGAGGCTGTGAGTTCGATCCTAGGTAGAGGCAGACATTTCTCTCTCTCTGGACACGCTGAGAATATATCTGCTGAATATAAGTCCACACTGGCGACAGGAAAGGCATCCGGCCAGTAAACAATCAGCTCCACATTCAGTTGCCCAGACTCCACCCCACAAGGGATTATGGGGTTATTAAAAGATGATGATGAGTGATTCCCTTCACTGAGTGGTGCATGGCCTAGAGATCAGGAGGCTGTGAGTTCAATCCTAGGTAGAGGCAAATATTTCTCTCTCTGGACACAATGAGAACGTATCTGTGGTGAACTCCGCACTGGTGACAGGAAGGGCATCGGGCCAGTAACACCCTCAGCTCCACTCCACAAGGGACTTACAAGGTTATTAGACAACACACACACACAAAAGTTGACTAGAATCTTATCTATAAGCATAAACAATAAATCAGCTTCGCTAGAATCTACTGTGAGGTCCAGATTCTTCGTGCTTCATGGTGTTACTCACATTGGAGAGAGAACAGCACCAGGATTGTCAATGGAAATAGTCAAAATCCCTCCAGTTCGGGTAGACGTTCGCCATCTGCTTGGAAAGCACAGCTCATTAATTCCAAATTTAATTTACAGGAAGTTCATGGCAACAGCATACGGAACCCGCGGTGACTTTTATCTTGCTATAAAGCCGAACAATACGGAGGACACTAGACAAACCACCTCGTTCATAGCTGTATCTGGAAGAGCCAGGATGGCCCAGGGGTTAGAATGCAGCCTTTGCAGGCTGACTCTGCCCATTGCCGGCCATTTGATCGTGACCGGCTCAAGGTTGACTCAGCCTTCTGTCCTTCTGAGGTTGCTAAAAGGAGGAGCCAGATTGTTGAGGGCAAGAGGCTGGCCCTGTAAACTGTTTAGAGAGGGCTGGAAAACATGTGAAGTGGTATATAAGTGCTATTGCTATGTGCCTTCCTTCTTCCCTCCCTCCTTTTCCTTCCTCCCTCCTTCTCTTTCTCCCTCCCTTTCCTTTCTTCCTTCCTCCCTCTCTCCATCCTTTTCCTTCCTTCCTTCCTTCCTTCCTACCTACCTACCTACCTACACACACAATGGTTAGAATGCAGCATTGCAGGCTGACTCTGCCCACAGCCAGCAGTTCAATCCTGACCGGCTCAAGGTTGACTCAGCCTTCTGAGGTCAGTATAATGAGGACCCAAATTGTTGGGGGCAAGAGATTGATCCTGGAAATTGCTTAGAGAGGGCTGTAAAAGCCCTGTGAAGTGGTATATAAGTCTAAGTGCTATTGCTATTTCTCCTTTTCTTTTTCCTTTCTTTCCCTCCCCTCCTTTCCTTTTCTTCCTTTTTTCCTCCTTTTCTTTCCTTCTCTTTCTTTTCCTTTCTTCCTTTCCTTTCCTTTCCTTCTCTTTCCTTCCTTTCTTTTCCTCCTTTCCTTTCCTTTCCTTTCCTTTCCTTTCCTTTCCTTTCCCTTTCCTTTCCTTCCTATGCAATACTGCAGGCTGACTCTGCCTAAACCCAACATTTCAATTCTGACCGGCTCAAGGTTGACTCAGCCTTCCATCTTTCTGGCATCAATAAATTGAGGACCCAGATTATTGGGAGCAAGAGTAAATCGCTCAGTAAATCACTCAGAGTAGGGCTGCAAAGCCAAGTGATATATAAGTGTTACTGCTATCTCTGTATGGGTTACATTAATGATGCTGGAAATCACCTTTCAAAGCACCGAATTCCGGTTTTTCCCGAAGCTGTGTCCTTTTAGTCAATTATACACAGTCCTCAACTTGCAATCATTCATTTAGTGACCAAAGTTACAACGGCACTGGAAAAAAGTGACTTAGCAGGACCCTTCATCACACTAACAAATTCAGCTGCTCAGCCATTGGCTCATATTTATGACGGTTGCAGTTTTTCCAGGGTCGCACAATCCCCTTTTGCAATTTTTTTTAACAAGTCAAGTCAATGGGGGGGAAGCCAGATTCACTTATGTGACTAACTGCAGTGATTCACGTAACAACCAGGGCGAGGTAGGTCGTAAATGGGGCCAAGCTCAACAACTGTCATGCTTGGCATCAGAAACTTTGAGCTCCATTGTGGTCATAAGTTAAGGACTACCTGTATTTTACCAAAGCACAGGCAGAGCCTGGTGATGGCAGAGTCAAGAGAGGACCTAGCCTGGCATGCTTACGTTGCCACAAAGAGTCTAAATCCAACCTCTCATATGTATTCTGTTAACTGTTATCTAGAGCCAATTTAGTGCTGGTGATTAATTAACCAGATTCTCGACAATAAGCACGTGCATTGAATCAGCTTAGCCGGGACTTGAAACAGGTAATCCTTGGCATACGACGGTTGGTTTAGTGACTGTTCAAAGTTTACAACGGCGCCGAAAAAAAACGTGAGCTATGATAGTTTTTCGCAAGTTTAACTCACTTAATAAAACGTTTCCCTGAGTTTAGTTTACTTTATTGTCCTTGCACCTCGTACAACGAAATCAAATGCCATCTTCGGTGCACATCATGACCAGGAAAATAAACACACGTCCTTCACCCTCCACACATTGAACCGAAAACCCCGGACACTGCACCAATATTGCATTATACAGCAGAATTCAAAAGAGCTCCTGCCCTGGGATAGAAGCTGTTTTCCAGCCTATTTGTCCTTGTTTTTATTATTATCCTGTACCGTCTGCCAGGTGGTAATAGTTAAAAAAAAAGGTTCCCAGGATGAGATGGATCTTGGAGGATGTTTTGAACTTTCTTAAGGCAGCAGGAGCTATAAATCTCTTCCAAAGAGGGGAGAGGGCAACCCAGGATCCTCTGGGCAATGATGTTAACCCTCTGGAGCGCTTTCCTATCTGCCCCTGTGCAATTCTCAAACCATACAGAGGTGCTACTAGTTAAGATACTCTCTCTAATGCAGCGGTAGAAGGTCACCAGCAGTTTTTCATTCAGTTGCTGTTTTCTGAGCCGCCTGTACAGAATCAAAGAGATCGCTTATTGAACCCTTCGCTTCTCCAGCGATGGAACCAGCTCCTCCTTCTGACCCAACTGAATTCCTGTGCTGAATTTCTGGATGAGTTTGCCAGAACAAAAGATACTCACAGTCCTTAAGACAATATAGAACTGAGATATGTTCCTCCCACCCTCCCAAAAAAAGAAAAGGAAAAGGAAAACGAGAGCACAGATTGGTGATTGCTCGGTCAATTTCTTTGGAATACCTACGGGCGAGTCCGTTTGTTTCCCTGGTTTCTGTAGTCACCTTCTGGATGGACTTGTGCTTGTACCTGGGGAGGAAAGGAAAAAGGAAACAGGGAAAGGGGAGAAGAGGAAAAAGGGACGGAAGGGAAAAGAAAGGAGAAAGGAAAAAGAGAAAGGAAAAAATCAGATACCTACGGATAGCAATCTAGCAAGCTGAAGCACGCAAGGAAAAATGAAAGTCTTGGATTTCTACTTCTAGTTTCTACAGTTTAGTAAAAAGCCTTCCTATTGGCTCGCTCAGCATTTTTCAATCTTGGCAACTGTAAAAGACATGCAGACTTCAAACTCCCAGAATTCCCCAGCTGCAATTCTGGGAGTTGAAGCCCCCACGTCTTAAAACTTGCTAAGGTTGACAAACCAAAGGCTCGTGGACTTTTGTGCAGGCTTCTAAAGTGTTCTGTGCCTATAATTAAACCACCGCTTCCAGTTTGCTGGCAGCAGGAAGGGCAAGGTGGAATTAACAGAGTTGAAAGGGACCTTGGAGGTCTTCTAGTCCAACCCCACCCCCCCAGGGTTAGAAACCCTATACCATTTCCCCCAGAGATGCCCCATACAGAAATAGGAATCTTAAGTCCCTCACCTTTATAATTCAGTCAAGGGTATCCACAGGTACAGTCCTTGGTGCTTAGTGGTTTCCTTGCAGACATTTCATGACCCAACTAGGTAGCATCATCAGTGCTAAAAGGGAAGGGGGGTTGTGGCATGCAAGAGGAGGAGGAGGAGGAGGAGGAGGAGGAGGAGGAGGAGGAGGAACTGATGCACCCTGAAAGTGGTTTTGTTGCAGACATTTCATGACTCAACTAGGTAACATCATTAGTGATAAAAGGGAAGTGGGGTTGTGGCATGTAAGGAGGGGGGGAAGAAGAGGAGGAGGAGGAGGAGGAGGAGGAGGAGGAGGAGGAGGAGGAACTGATGCACTCTGAAAGTGGTTGTTTTGTTTCATCACCGCACTAGGTAACATCATCAGTGCTAAAAGGGAGGAGGATGAGAGGGGGTGGTGGAAATTGATGCTCTCTCGAGTATTGTTTTCTTGCAGACGTTTCATTACCCAACTAGGTAACATCACCAAGGCTAGAAGGGAGTAGGGTTCGCTCTCCCATCAGCAAATCAACAGGGATTAACATCGAGATGAATACTAAAGCAAGCAAAACTCAAGGAGTAAATAATAACCCAATCAATGTAGCCGCCATCTCAGATAAACAAGCTAACGGTAAACCACAGCCTAACCAAGGAAACCCCCAAGGCCACTCCCACCAGCACTGACAGGCCAAGCCCCTTGGGTATAAAGCAGAGTGCAAACCCCTCTCCCTTCTAACACTGATGATGTGACCTAGTGGGGTAATGGAACGTCTGCAACAAAACAACCCAGCTCAGCAAAGCCCACTCCCTTCTAGCACTGTCACCTACCCTGTTTTCCCAAAAATACGACCTCCTCTGAAAGTAAGTCCTAGCTTGATTTTTACACATGCACCCAATATAAGCCCTACTCCCCAAAATAAGCCCTGATTAAAAATTAAGCCAGGTTGGGGATGTGGGGGTGGAGCTGCCTTATTATTTACCTTTGGACAGGTGTAGCCAGGCCTCGCACACCCCGACACCTGCCTTGGCGGCCCATTTCTTCTGCAGCTGGCAAGGCTGGCCAGGCTTTCCTGAAGGCCTCTGGAGCTGGTAACAAAGCTTTGGATCGATCCAGAGTTGTGTTAACGGCTGCCCAGGCCTTCAGGAAAGCCTTGCCGGCCGCAGAAGAAGTTTCTGAAGGCCTCCGATAGCAAAAAGGAGGCCGGGGGCGACACATGCAAGTGAGGTTAGTCAGTGGATGACATCCCCCCAAAATAAGACCTGGTGGCAAAAAAACCCCATAAGACAGGGTCTTATTTTCCAGGAAACATGGTAGATAAGGGCTAACGGAATTCAAAAGGGTTTGGATTTAGTCCATTTGTGGCTACGCAGGGATTCCAGGCTTGTTCTTCTCTTGACTCCGCCACTCCTTCTCCTCTCGCAACCAACAACCGAATCTCCTGCCCACCACGTCTCTCCCCGCCTTCAGCCTCCATCGGAACACCTTAAGCTTGCAGAGGTTGGACATGCGAAATCACGTAAGATGCATGCAAAATCGCATAAAGCCCCCGGAAATAAGACCCGGTGGCCTTTTTTGGTGGCAAAAAACAACACGAAACGTAAGACTAGGTCTTATTTTGGGGGGAAACCCGGTATGTTTTGTATTTTACCCGTGTTAAATATGACGCGAAGGTGCCATACGATCAATGCAGACTGGCCCCTAGTTCAAAGCATGGATTGTTTGAGACGGCTGCCCCTCCATGTCATTTTTCGGCTCCTCTTCATTCCTCCTTTTTTTCTCCCCCCACCCACCCTGCAGGGTCTTATTTTTGGAGGAAAACATGGTAGTCAGGTAATGAAATGCCTGAAAGGTAGACTCCCCTGGGAAACGGCCCCCCAACGGGAGCCAACCTCGGAGTGACCAGATTTTAAGATTGGCAGAAGAGCGGGCCAAATCTTTCCTTCAGATTGAAATGCAGATATGCAAAAGTACCTTCAGGCCCCGCCGAAAAAGGAAAGTTGCTTGGCGTGTATCTTTCTGCTGGTATAATTTATTCCCAATTCTGGTCGACAGGGACTGTATGCTTGGCCTGTAAATACAAATACAAATAATAATAATAATAACCACATGTCCTTGTTATCGTTTATGGCAAGGGTGGGGAACAGTGGCCTTTGTCCACCCTGAGGCTGTTTGCTACGGGTGTATTAGTTGGAATCCTGAGAGCCTTTTTATGGACTTGTGGACTTCAACTCCCAGAATTCCTGAGCCAGCATATTTCCCCGCACACACACATACACAAATAGGGTAACAGACTCGTACTGATAACGGTTGCAGCATCCCAGAGTCACGCTGAAGCGGCTTGGAAGGTCCAAAACAAAATATGCATTTACCAGAAATCCTCTGACCCCACCTTACCATGCTTCTTATATAGACATATTGCGCAAAACCACGAAATTGCTGAACTAAGGAACTGGAAGTAAGCATGTTTCGGTGAATAAGGATGGTTCTGGAAAAGAACAAGATATGTACTTCTCCTTTTTGGTATAGTTTAACATAAGAAGCGCCCCGGGCTAGGCTGAGGTTATGACATGTATAAAAGTGACGCCTCAGGAAGAGCCAGGGGTTCGGAATATGCCATGTTGATGCTCTGAACCTTTGCGCACGAATAAAAACCTGTGTTCTCCAACCTTTCGTGGTCTTGTGTCCTGATTTGCAAACAGGATCCCTTTTACGACCTTCTGACAAAGCAGAGTCAACGGCCTGGCTTGCTTAACAACGGTGTGACTCACTGAACAACTTGGGCAAGAAAGGTAGTTCAAACGGAGCAAAAGTCATTCAACAGCTTGTCTCGCTTACCAAGAGAAATCTGGGGCTCTGTGGTGGTCCGTAAACCAAGGACTACCACAAAGGGGCTGCCCCAAAGAAGAGGGAGTCAAGCTATTCTCCAAAGCACCTGAAGGCAGGACAAGAAGCCACGGGTGGAAACTAACCAAGGAGAGAAGTAACTTAGAACTAAGCGGAAACTTCCTTAACGGGGAGAAGAATTAACCAGTGGAACAGCTGGCTTCCAGAAGTTGGGAAGGCACCAACCCTGGAAGTTTTAAAGAAGAGACGGGATAACCATTGGTCCGAAATAGGAGTAGGGTTTCCTGCCTAAGCAGGGGTTAGACTAGAAGACCTCCAAGGTGCCTTCCAACTCTACTCTTCTTCATTCCTCTATTCGGATGTCGGGAAGTGCAGGGCGCACACGGAGGCTCAGGGAGGGTGGGAAAACGGGCCTCCTGACAGGTCGGGAAGGCCGGAAATGGGCCCATTTCCGGCTTCCAGAGAGCCTCGGGAGCCCGGGGAGGGCAAAAACCACCCTCCCCCCTTCGCGGTGCAGGAGGCCAACTAGGCCACGCCCACCCTGGCCACGCCACGCCCAGAGAACCGCCTGCTGAACATTTTTGGGAAGCCCGCCCCCGATTCTCTTCCCTCACAGATACAACCCCCTTTCCTTGATGTCGCGAGGCTTCGCCCGAGGCCCAAGCTTCAAGGGAGCTCCTCCCAAAGGGTTAACCGGGCAGCTTTACCTTCGATTTAACAAGTTGGGCCTTCGGAAGCGGGCGCCTGGCTTCCTCTGTAGTTCGGGTTGTCTCTGGACGGCCATCTTCCTTTTCAAAACGGAGTAATTCCTTTGCAGGTTCTTTAGGGAGATACACGAAGGGTCAGGGGTGCGCCTGTCCGGAGGAACAGGAGCAAGAGCAAAGCCCCAACACCCCCACCACCTGCCCCCCATAAGTGGGGTTTTTTTTCAGGAGGCAACTGGAGTTTCTGGTTTTTTTCCTTTGAAGACGTTTCGCTTCTCATCCGAGAAGCTTCTTCAGTTCTGACTGGATGGTGGGGAATGGAAGGATTTATATTCCTTGCGGACATCTGGTCATTTGTATCCTTTAGAGGGTCGTTGAGGCCACTTGGAGGTTTGTCTGTGTCCTCAGGGTGCTTTTTTTTTTTCAGGAGGCAACTGGGCTTTCTGTTTTTTTCTTTGAAAAACTTTCGCTTCTCATCCGAGAAGCTTCTTCAGTTCCGACTGGATGATGGGGAAGGGAAGGATTTATACTCCTTGCAGGCAGCTGGGCATTTGCATCCTTTTAGAGGGTCGTTGAGGCCACTTGGAGGTTACTCTGTGTCCTCAGGGCCACCTGAGTGGTGCAAAGGGTTCCCGTAGTTTGCAATTTTCCAGAGGGGAAAAAAAAAAGAAAAATATAAGAAAAAAATTTGCAGACTATAGGAACCAGGAGCACCACTCAGGGGACCCTGAGGACCCAGATACACCTCCAAGTGGCCTCAACAGCTCTCTAAAAGGATGCAAATGACCAGCTGTCTGCAAGGAGTATAAATCCTTCCGTTCCCCACTATCCTGTCAGAGTTGAAGAAGCTTCTTGGAGGAGAAGTGAAACGCTTTCAAAAGTAAAAACGAGAAAGTCCAATTGCCTTCTGAAAAAAAAAAAAAAGCACCTTTGGACCATCATGACCTGGACGACTAAGAATCTCTACAGGCTTTTACCTATACAATTTGGGATGAACACCTTTCGAACGGTGTGTGTGTGTGTGTGATGATCCAAAGGGGCGTGGCACAAAAGCAACCAAGTCACAAAAGCCTAATTTGGGCCCCGATGTCCAGTTATCTTCAGCTGGAGAAAAAAACTCTCCCAAGAACAGTTTTTAAAGGGAAGAAATTCAGTCCGACCCCAAAGTACATATCGATTATAAATAAAAACCAACACAAACCACGTTGCAGCAATTAAGGAGACAGGGCAGGAGAAGGAATTGCTGATCTCAAAAGATAACAAAACACACACAGTTGGGAGGACGCCAGAACCCAGATAAGGATTGACAAACCAAGATAATCCACGCTTTGCTTCCAGCAAAGTTCTGTGGGCAAAAAAACACTCTCTTTATCCTGTTTCCTCAGCTGCAGCTAATCGAGGGGATCAGGGCCCTTTCCTCCCCTGTAAGCCACGTTGCTCCCTTCTCCATTCCTCCCTGCGTGCCCTAAGATGAAGAAGGGGTGGGCCTGGGTCTTCCTCTGAAGGCCCAGCCAGACTCTGCCCTTCCCCAGTTTCCTCCACGGTCGCCAGAGCCGCACTCCCACTCCCTGTCGGCTGCTCAACCTCCCCCTCGGAATCAGACTCCAACAGGGGCACGACGGGGGTGGGAGAAGGAGTGGATTTCCAGAGAGGAAAAAAATGGCAGACCACTAGGAACCAAGAACACTACTCGGGTGACCCTGAGGACACAGATAAATATCCAAGCGGCCTCAATGCACCCTCTGAAAGGATGCAAATGACCAGCTGTCTGCGAGGAATATCAATCCTTCCCTTCCCCACGATCCAGTCAGAACTGAGGAAGCTTCTCGGATAAGAATCGAAACACCCTCAAAAGAAAAAAACAAGAAACTCCAGTTGCCTCCTGAACAACAAAAAAAAAGCACTTTTGGCAAAACCAGGACCTGGATGACTGAGCATCCCTACAAACCTTGAATCAAAGCCTCACCCCCAAAACTAAACAGAAGAGCAGATCTCAAGATTAGACTGGAGCTACGTCACCATCTTAGGAGATCAGGCAGGAAAATTATTTCGAGGATCAAGGATGGCTTCGAAAGAGAAACTTGGGGGAATTCTGGGAGTTGAAACCCACAGGTCTTATAACTTGCTGGGTTGGGAGACCCTTGAGCTAACGCTAGGCTCTGGGCACCATCCGTTTAAGGTACAGGTAAGTCCTCAACTTGCAACGGTTGGTTTAGTGACCAAAGTTACAACGGCACTGAAAGAAGGGACTGATGACCAGTTTTCACACTGATGACCGTGGTAGCATTCCTGGGGTCATGCGGTTGAAATTCAGGCGCTTGGCAAGGGATTCGTATTTAACGACAGCTGCAGTGTCTCGGGGTCACGCGATTCCCCTTTTACGACCTCCTGACGAGCTAAGTCAACAGGGAAACCAGGTTCGCTTAACAACCGAGTTAACTAATTTAAAGAACTGCAGCGACCCATTTAACAACTGTTGACGGAGGAAGGTCTTAAAAGGAGGCAAACTCACTTCGCACATCTCTTCGCTTAGCGGCAGAAACTTTGGGCTCGACCGTGGTCGTTAAGTCGAGGACGACCTGGACCAGGCCGATATTTTCTTTAATAAGATGGGTGGACTTCAACTCCCAGAATTCCCCCCGCCAGCCAGCCAAGCAGGCCATGTCACGGCCGAGGGACTGAAAAGGAGCCAAAACCATTTCTCTCCCTTCGCCAGCCTGAACTGGACCCACCCGGTACCTTTTCACTGAGGGGCGATCGGTTGAGGGGGCTGATGCCCTTGTGAGGCCCCGGGGCTTTCCTCGCTGCCAAGCCCGTCTTAAGGCCATAGGCCCGCCTCTTCCCCGGCACCTGCTTTCGACGTCCTAAGTGGTTCTTGCCAAAACCTGCAAGGGAGGGAGAAAGAGGGAGGGGAGGGAAAAGGAAAGAAGAAAGAAAGAGGGAGAGAGAAAGAAAGAGGGAGGGAAAAGGAAAGGAAGAAAGGAAGGAGGAGGGAGGGAGGAAAAAAGAAAGAAGGAAGGATGGAGGAGGGATGGAAGAAAAAGGAAAGAAAGTGGGAGAGAGGGAGGAAAAAGGAAAGAAAGAAAGAAAGAAAGAAAGAAAGAAAGAAAGAAGAGAGAAAGAGGGAAGGAGGAAGGGAGAAAGAAAGAGGGAGGGAGGAAAAAGGAAATGAAATGAAGGAAGGAAGGAAGGAAGAGGGAGGGAAGAAAAAGGAAAGAAAGTGAGGGAGGAAGGGAAAAGGAAAGAAAGGAAGAAAGGAAGGAGGAGGGAGGAAGAAAGGGAGAAAGAAAGAGGGAGGGAGGGAAACGGAAAGGAAGGAAGGGGGAGGGAGGGAGAAAAAAGGAAAGAAAGGAAGAAAGGAAGGAAGAAAGAGGGAGGAAAAAGGAAAGAAAGGGAGGGGGAGGAAAAAGAAAGAAAGAGGGAGGGAGGAAAAAGGAACGAAGAAAGAAAGAGAAAAAAATGAAAGAAGGGAGGGAAGGAAGGAAAGAGAAAGAAGGAAAGACAGAAAAGGAAGAAGGAAAGAAAAAAAAGAAAGAAGATAGGAAGGATAGGAAAGGGAGGGAGGGAGGACAGAAGGAAGGAAAGGACGGAGGAAGGAAGGAAGGAAGGAAGGAAGGAAGAAGAAGGGATTAGGTCCTTTCATGCGCTATGAGAATCACCTTGGGAGACAGGAGGAAGAACTGAACTCTAAATAGCTGTCATTCAAAACGCATCTCAGCCAATAGAAGGAAAGGGGAGGGGGACGTGGGAAATGCCTTGGAAGGGCCCCTCCCTAGTTTTCTGGGAAGCAAAAGTAAAGGAGAGGAGAGGAGAGGAGAGGCGAGGAGGAGCCTGGGGCCAGTTCTGGAGCCCGGGGAGGGCTCTGAGGGACGCTCAGCGTCGGACGCAGACAGAGAGCTAGGGCTGTCCAGCAATTTCCCAGCCACTAGAGAGGGAGTCAGAGAGGAGCGAGGAGGAGCAGCTGGAGCCTGTTCCAGATGCGCGTATGCACAGAGCTGTCAGGAGAGGAGAGCAGCCGGCCAGGGAAGCAAAACCAAACGTGGACGCTGACCGGCCCCTCCCTGGCTGGGGAATAAAGGGGAGGAAAGGGGAATGGTTTGGCGGTCGTGTGTTTTCGCCTTGCCGGAACGGAGGTTTGTCTCTTTCTCTCACTTAATTTGCCGCCTCCTGGCTGGATCGGAGCTCAAGGCCTTGCATTTACCTGAACGAGCTGATAAGGGCTATTGCTTCACTTCACTCCTTGCCGGACTCTCGCCTGGACTTTCGGTCGGTAAAGGCCGTTAATTCCCAAGGTCTAAATCAGGAGGTCTCCAAACCTGGCAACTTTTAAGGCTTGTGGACTTCAACTCCCAGAATTCTCCAGCCAGCTAGGAAGCCAGATTCATTTAAAGCTGGCTTTAAAAATGGCAGTGATCCACTTAACGACTGTGGCAGGGAACGGTCGTAAAATGGGGCAAAACTCTCTTCCAAAAAAAAAAAAAAAAAAGTCTCATTTAATGTGAGAAATCTGGGGCTCAGCTGTGGTCGTAAGTCGAGGACTACCTGTACCACCGGACCTATTACATTAGGAGTTGCCTCTACATTGGCCTTGGGTGGTTTCCCGTGAAAACAAACCATGGTCCCAAGACTCAACTAACCTGGATAGTCTTGAATTCCCCACTCTTTTTTTTTTCCTTTTCTTTTTCAGTTTATTATAGTCATAGGCCAGAGACCAAAACAAATAAAAACACTCAGTAAAGATACAATTAAAAATAATAGTATAAAATAATAATAAATCTATATATAAAACAAGCGAAATGCCACTCACGCGTCATCACAAAATCTCCAGAACTGTAAAGCCTACAAATTTGAAATTTGGCCTGTATGTTCCACTTGGCTTCTAGGGGCTCACTAAGAAAGGATTTTTCCAAATGACCATCAGAGCATTTAGACTATTTCTATTATTATTATTATTATTATTATTATTATTATTATTATTATTATTGATTATTAACAACATGCTTTGATGCTAAAGAGTTCTAGTCCACCTCCCCACCTGGAAAGAAATCTCTTCCAAATGCAAAACACAAGCAGAGGAGTTTCAGTTTCGGAGCCCTAAGCAGTTTTAGTACAGAACAGTTGAGCTAAGCCGCACCCAGGCTCCTTGCTGTCTCCTTCTTGCTCACACAGCAAATACTGCTTCAGTTTCCAAACAGCCCTCAACTCTTTCTCACACACTAACAGGACACTAGCCAGATGAATACCGATGGATGCTGGCAGGCATTATTTTCCTCCAAAAAAACTAAGCCTGACCACATAGTTTTGTAGTGAAGCGTGGGTAGTGAGCTAGCATAAAATAATAAATAACTACTCAAAATGTATAAAATCCAGTCTGTCAATTATACATGGTCTAACTATACTAAAATTAAAAACAGTGAGATGAAATAATACGATGCGTAACTATGTATAACTATGTAAATAATTATGTAAATATTTGAAAATATGCGATAAATCGAACGAAAAATAATTGTAGTAATATTTAGTAATATTCTACAGACTTACAAATAGGTCAAAGTGAGCGAACGCTACTACAAACGCGTTGCAATGAAGGGATATATGTTTTTAATTGCAGAATTTGTTTAATAAAGATTTTAAAAGATCTATAAAATTGCAAACATGGGCCCTGGGTGGTTCCTGCTCAGTTCCGTGAGAACAAACCATGTT